ACTCTGTAACTCGAGAAGACAGTGATCATTTCCAACATTAACAAAAATATAATGGTTATTGATTGTCTAAGATGTTCATTATTAAATATGTCCAATGATTTCTAACATATTTGTAGCATGATGTATTCCTATATGGTGATAGTTAGTCCATTTTGTTAGCTTCCAACTATAAGTTAATGAACTTATTTATCTTCAGTCGAACATGTAGCGATAAGTTGAAGTAAATGTAGATATGTACAATTTAACCAGAATAGCTCAAATTATGGCCAGTAAAGATATTTGGAATTCGTATCAGTGCAGCTCTTATGCTTTTCCATTCCATTCATGATATGGTAGCAGTAGATCTAATCTTCTTCCTAGGTTTTAAGAAAATTGACAGCCTTATAACTTCTAAAAACAGAAAAATAAGCCTGTTCTGCAACAAGAGAAGTAAGTTCACCAATCGTCTTTACTCAGGGGTTGTAGTGTTTGTCCGAATCACAAATCGTTTGCCAAACGAAATGTGTAGAGGCTATTGACTTAAACGTTACGAGTGGTTTCACAAGCTAAAGTGATTTGAAAACTCAAATAAATTACTGAAACGCTTATTTTGAGTTATCACATTTATACTGGACAATTAAACGATTTATAGGTGATAAACTATTGCTTCGGATCTAGGACTGAAAGGCTCTATATGAAATTTTAATTATTCACACAATTGTGATGAGTAGAAGTGTTTGAATTATCATACGAACTAGGAATTCCAGAAATAACAAAATTTAGACTAAAGAGAACTAAATGAGCACAAATGAACGTATTGTTTTGGGAATTCAAAATCAGACAGACATTATGTACAAAAGAATTATTGTTTCGTACAGGCACCACAACAATACGCTTTTTTGTCAGCTAACTCTCCTGTTAGATCTATGTACTTTCTCAGTTGTTTGGACAATCATTTTAACTTATGTTCTTTGTGTTGGAATGACACTGCTGTCTGCACTTTTACCAATCGTCTCTTAACTAATATGGATGAAATAAAATTACATGCTGTTGTTACTAACCAGATAGTGGAATGTGATTATTACAATAAATGAATACATGTATCTGTTTAACGACTTGCGATACGTAAATTAATCCTATATGGTTATTAAGTAGTTAATATGTTGGAGCGAAATTTTGTTTGGTCGCTTCTGTTGATTAGTCTTCTATAATTTCATTGGCAGTTATTCGTGATTGATCTGTTACAATATGCTGGTTATTATGTTACGAAGTAAAATGAAAGTTTTTGATTTGCTAATTTTACAAACTTTAATACCCAGTTACTGTGTGTTGTAAATATTGATATTGTGTTCAATTGCAATTTGGTCCTTGTGTAATACATTGTTCTCACCTTTTATTCTAGCCTCGCGAAAATGAAACCAATTTATAACGTTTAACTGGGAACATTTTATTACACAAGGACCAAATTGCAATTGAACACAATGTCAATATACTCAATACACAGTAAGTGGGTAGTAAAGTACGAGACAATAATTTATGGACGAACCAAACAGGTATAAGATAACAGGTCTTAGATTTTGGCGCTAAACACCGTTTTGGCACTATAGATGAGGTCAGTTCGTGATGGAAACCCTAAATTTAGTTGCTTACCTTAACTACCAACTGTAAATCATAATCTTTATTCTTCCTACAGGTCTATAACCTTCATTTAGCTCTTGTAGATAGGTGGACATTCTCAGTGTCACTATAGTGTTGCTCATAGGTCATCCATAAATTATAGTCTCACCGAATAAAACAGGGAATAATTCAGAAGCCTCAATTGCTAAATCAATAATGAATATATGTGCATAAGTGCTACCGAGCGAAACAAACGTATGTGATAAGTGACTAAATTTATTTAAATATTTCAAATATACCATCTGCGAGTGTGTAGTGCCCTATTTTTATCAAGAGAACGCGATTAGTTTGATGGAAACAATTATTATTATAACCAACTGTACCAGTGATTGTTTTACTATACTTGTTTGTTTAACTGTACTAAAGACATTCTTCCGTTGATTGTGACCTTGCACGGATTCGGTTACGCTCAGTAACCACACTTGTATTCCATTGGCACGATCTCGGTATTCTTTCAATACCACGAGATAGCCATCAAATACATTTTGACTACAGCCATTAACTGCCTTCTGATATTTGGCCTACAGGGGATCTTATCGATTAACTGGCACGTTGTCTTCCTGTAGTGGTGTTCATAGTCAACCGCGACTCGACGCCACACCACAAGTGCATACATTTTACCACTCTTCAGTATACGAACACTTCATCCTCTTGTAAGTACAGTTAATGTGATGGTTAAACATATTACTCATAAATAATGTTTAGTAATATGTTAGTTAGCAAATATTTAATTAAACTGTTACAGTTATAATTTTGTATGTTGTTTGTGTTCATTCTGTTTGTTAATAATTCTCATATTTCTACACAAATAATATGAAATTAAAAATAAGTGTAAATGTTATACATCATACCATCAAATTGGAAATACTTTTCTAACCAAATCATTTTGTTGTATAAATAATCAAGAAAATTGAAACTTTGATTAATTTCTATGAAGAAAGAGTACACAGACATTAGTGTTAACTAGAATTGAGAAGTGTAGTAATAATGTTTATAAAGATAATCAACTGAAATATGATTGAATGGTACATTGAATTCGTTTTATAACACTGTGAATGTAAGAATACTGAAAGCAAAATATCTATGTAGAGACATTTTACAATGAATCAAATGAGTATTTGAAACGTAATTATACTAATTTCTTATCTTTCTTTTAAATAAAGTTAATAAAATATATGCTTCGATTTTATTTACTGGTATATCCACGACGACCCTCCATCGAACTCTGTCCTGGTCCATCTTCTCCAGTTTTTTCCAGTTGCTATTTATTCTTTTAATGTGTGCTTCCAATTCCGGACGCAATGTGTTCCTTGATCTTCATCTTTTTCTTTTTCCCTCAAGATTTCGGTAAAGGCTTGCGTCGAGATCCAGTGTGATGATTTCCGAACTGTATGTCTTATCCACTTCCAATGTCTTTTCCTAATTTCCTCGTCAGATGGAAGCTGGTTTGTTCTCTCACACAGCAGGCTGTTGTTGATGGTATCCGGTCAACGGACATTGACTATCTTACGTAGACAATTTTTTATAAATACTTGTACTTTATTGATGATGGTTGAAGTATTTCTAGAAGTTTTAGCTCCATACAATAGAACTAACTAACTTGACACTCGTATTGAAGATTGTGACTTTGATATTGGTTGACAGTTGTTTTGAGTTGTATATATTCTACAATTATAGGAATGCGGTCCTTGCTTTGCAAATACTAGCATTTGCGTCTGCATCAGATCCTCCACGTTCATCTATGATGGTACCCAGATAGCTAAAATGAACTTTCTATTTAGCGCTTTGCAGTTGATGCAATATAAGTTAGTGTATTAGGTATCTGATTCTTTATAGCTTATATATGCTATATCTACTTTGTTACAGCATAAATAAATCTGTTCTGTTCACAAATGATTTTAAGGCTGTGTATTGATTTTCCGCTCATGATCTTACTCATTTACCAAATAGCATAATTATGGAGCTTAGTAAAGCTACATCATGGTACTCATTGTGAACTTTACAACTTACCACTGAGAAATGAGGATAGATTGATTAATTGTAATTTCACCATTAATGGTAATGTGGTAACTAGGTTTTGTCTAACGACAGTCATAAACTAGATTTTACTGACAGGATTATTAATTTATTTGTCTTTGTATTCCACAGTATTCTAAATGATAGAAGTTACTAAAATAATAAAAAGACGAAAAACTATAGAAGTGAATACATCAACAAATCATTAGATTTAATAATTTACTGCAAGGATATACCACCATCTGGTTTTTAAAAGTCCCATACTGGGATAGGACATTATACCAGTAATTTCTAATTTCATTTGACAACCAAATAAAACTGATGGGTGATATAATCTATGAATTTCAATAATCATTCAGAAATCATAATACAGAAGTAATAAAATGAATATTTTTTGAACAAACAATAGTACTCAGTTAACTTAAGATTACTTATCAAATAAAGCTTTTGTAAAGTTGACAAATTCAAGTTAAAATACAAATTGAATCATAATATCAGAAGGGGTTTTGTGGAGATTTTTTTTAGAAATTTCACTGATTGAAGTCATGAGTCAATTGCAGCTAGACCACCATATAAACCTGGAAGCACTGGATGGCCGTTTCGTCCTAGTATGGGACTCCTCAGCAGTGCGCATTTACGATCCCGCACCCCGTGAGATTCGAACCCAGAACCTATCAGTCTCGGGCCAGGCGCTTAACCAACTAGACAATTGAGTCGGCATCCAACAGTGTTAATGTCTAACTTCAACCAATCCACGAAGTTGCACCACCGTACACCATTGTCTTCAGTGAGCTGATATCTCACAACAAACCTGGTTGAACTCCATTGGTAACGGATTCTCACTAGAACTCCAGGGGTGTCTCTTGAAGTCAGTCACTAGTGAGCAGATGATTATCGCGCCAGGCGCTTGGAGCGAGACTGATAGGTCCTGGGTTCGAATCTCACGGGGTCGTGGATGCACACTGCTGAGGAGTCCCGTACTAGGACGTAATGGCCGTCCAGTGCTTACAGGTTTTCCATGGTGGTCTAGCTTCGGTTGACTCATGATTTCAATGAGTGAATCGTAATAGTTTTTTTATTTATTCGTAGGTACATAGGTACAATACAGAGAACTTCCTGTAGAGTAAATCTCAATTTCTTAAACATATTTAACAAACGACAATATAAAACACATAGACGATTCAAGATTATTTGTTTGCTTTCAGTTCATCATTTTATAATACAAAAAAGGTAAACAGATTATTATTATTATTATTAATATTATTGTTTACTTATTAAGTGATCTTGTGAATTTTGACTGATCAAATAATAAATTCACAAATGTATAAATTGAATCGATGCAAGCAGTTCATACGAATCATCTATTCAATATGCATAAAACACAGTTTAGTCTCATTGTTTTAGTGCTATTGAATATTTATGGAAATCGAGCCATCTTTTGGAATATAGAAAACTCTGAACTGCTAGTTTTACACAATGCATATAGAAGGGATATAAAGTATGGTACTGTTCTCGATCAACCAAAAGCAGAGAGTATGCTCACACTAGTAAGTAAATTAGTTAGAAATTCTCAATATTTGGTAGTCATTGTTAATCACAATCTAATATTCATAAAATGCTTTCATTGTTTATGCTAGCAATGGAGTCATAAATTGGCTAAACTAGCTCAAGCATGGGCATTTCATTGTGTGCCAACACGAAGTAACTTAACCATGAGGGATGGTTCAAAATGGACATATGTCGGCCAGAATATTGCTGTCGTTTCTAAAGTTAGAGAGTAGGTTTCTTTCAATAACTTCATTTTGTTGATAACCAGTAAAAATAAGTTTGTTAATAAATTATGTTAAACAACTCGTTATCGTTTGTGACAGTTAGTGAACAATTCTGAACATGTATGATTTGTGAATTATAAGTGACATTGAACTGTGTTTTCTATTTCGTCTTCTTTATCTTCAATCGATGATTCATGTTTGCAGCGCAGTGTCTGTGTGGTTTGACGAACATATGAACTACAATTTCAATAAAAATATTTGTCGACCAAATAAAACCTGTGCAAATTACAAACAAGTGAGTGTCGAACAAATGTCATTTTGATTATTGTAAAGAAAAGAAATAATCTTAACAAAACAAGCAAAGAATATTTAGTTTTCTGTGTTATATATGTGACGCCCGTCTAAATCAACAGAATTGACTTTATTTAATTAAGTAACATTTAAGTATTATATGAGATGATTTCAAAGTTGAATAATATTACCTTGAGTTCGACGTTTAATGATATTCAGAAATGCAATAGTAACATAACTTGATTTATATTATTGTTTGAATTCTTCAGTCAATTGATGATGGACAGCCATGGAAAAACTGGAAGCACTGGATGGCCGTTTCGTCCAGGTATTTCCTGGAGTTGTAGTGATAAGCTGTGACCGGTGGGGTGCAACCAGATCTACTCTGAGGTAGTAACTCCCTGAAGACAATGGTGGATGGTGGCACAGTTTTATGTGTACGGGTTGAAGTTAGACAATAATACCATCGGTTGCCAGCCGTCTTAGTGGTGTAGAGGTTAAGCGTCCATGCGCGAGACCGACAGGCCCTTGGTTCAAAACCTGTGCGCGGAATCGTGGATGCGCACTTCTTAGGAGGCGCACACTATGACGAAACGGTCGTCCAATGCTTCCAGGCTTTCCATAGTGTTCCAACTTCAATTGACTAATGAATTCAACCATTTATGAAATTACAAATGATGTACAATTCTTTGTTAACACATTGATATTTGATATTTCACTAAACACACTGCAGAATAACTTATTATATCATTCAAAAGGATGAACAATAAACTGTATATCGAGATCTGTTCTTCAACCCGTGATAGACAACACTCATATGCTGAAAATTTCACATGTTTCAATTGAGAAGAAGAAATTCTATTAGTATACAAAGGAAAACCGATTATTTTAGAAAATGTGTTGTGCCTGATTTGATGGAGAACTAGTTTACTGATTGCCTCAATCATTGTTATCTCGTGAACAGATTTCTTTGTTAACAGGAGTCTCTGATAGTATGAATAAACACATTGTGAATTCCATGTTGAACATATTTTTAATCTTTTGAATACATAGGTTGAACACATTCCGGACTTATTAGAACTATAATAGACGTAAAAGTTGATTGCTTTAACATTGTACAATTCCTTCATACAATAATGAAAAATACATTATAATATTAAGCCTAGTGTTTGGTAAGATCACTCAAATATAAATTGTTAGTTAGTGAATTGTCATTCTATCGAAGAAAGAATATGAAATGGTACAGTTTATATGTAGCGGCGGTTCTATTCTACTCGATCTAATTCATGAAGCGAAGAATATTCTGTAGGCAATAAAATGTAGTTGATTTGTTGTATATACATGATGAATAGTGAAAAATACACTTTGTCATACTTCATTGTCTTAATTCATTCGAACCGACTAAATTAGACTAATCATTTTGAAAATATTTTATATTAATATATATATATATATCTTTTACAGTTAGCATTTGCCGATACCACACATATTGGATGTGGGTTTGCAAAGTGTAAAAATCTAGAAGCACCAAATAACATACTTGTTGTTTGCAACTATGGACCTGGGTATGTAATTTCATGAAATGTTTTATTCAATTGCCATCGGTTTATGTGACTTTCGGAAACTTTTCTCAATGTCATAACTATGAGAACGTGATAATATTGGGACAGTATGTGTTTGGTTGCTGCTGTTGGTTTTGGAGCTTTGCATAACAGAATAAATTTGACTAGATAATAATAACAAAACAGGAAGCATCTATTTGTGTTCTGTGCTAACATGATGTTAATCATTGTTGTTCATTCACAAACCTATTGGAGATTAAACTTAGAAGATTTAGGTTCAACAGAGAGCACGTTAACTTCTTACTACATTATCACAACATCCAAAAAAGAACACATTTACAAATTCAGTCAGTTCGTTATACTGTACGACTACCATTTATCTCTATCAGTGGTTACTGATTGAGGTTTGAAATGATTGAATTTTACTAGTCACGCTGTCTAAGTAGAATTCATGGAATACTTATCAAACACAGTTACCAGGATGATAAAACACATTAAATGTATGAGTAAAACAATCTGGTCAGGATCAATCCGTTACAAGTGACAGAAATTTAATTGGTTTGGACTTTGAGATATACAATGAATGGATCCCTTCAAAGTAGTACATCAGTTGACAGGATATTTACATTCAAGAAAAAAGAAACTGTATTATAAAGCACATTTCTATTGAGTTCTATTTATTCATAAACAAATGATTCATTTTATTGTGTTTTTGCTTTTTTTTAGGGGTAAATATATCAATAGAAAACCTTATGAACCCAGATTTTATGAGGATTTACCCTATTTCATTATAGTCTAATAACCGAATATAACTAATGTTCATGTATGAAAACAGAATAATGTTTAAATATTTTACACTTTAACACAGTATGGTTTAAATTCATGATTAGATAGAATGTATGAATAACTGTTTGGTTAATTATAAGAATGATTAAAATACTTCAAAATCAAAAGAATTTTCTTTTAATAATTATATTCAACCATATTTATTTAAAGAAATAAATCAAAGAGATTATACTGATTCAGTGGCTCGGAGGTTAAGCGTTAACCCGCGGGACTGATAGTTCCTGGGTTCGAATCCCGTGGGTGGAATCGTGAATGCGTATTGCTGAGGTGTTCGATAATCGAACTAAACAGTCGTCCAATGCCTCTAGGTTTTCCATGGTGATCTAGCGTTAAATGACTTTTATGAATTCAACTATTAAAATTATTATAATATTCACCAAATCCCATTTCTGACAATAATTATGTAATAGTTTATAATAAGAGTTATTATTACGTAAATGTTTCATTTACATAGAAGTATGTGTATGAGAATATAACTTGATAAAGTAAACATTATTTTTGTCTAGTAGAACATTGTAATAGAACTGTGAAAATTGAAGTGTTATCATTCATGTTGACTGATATGAATGATGACCATTATTATTATTATTATTATAAGAAGCTTTATTCAACATTATACTTTTGGGTACAACATAGAATTCTCAGCATAAAGTATTTCAACAAGTTTCTTTTTCTTATATCTTGATCGATTGTGACGATAAATTTCGAATGATGACCAGTTAGATGTTAGGAATTCGGTAATCCACATTTGATTAATGTTCATTCGTTTCATTGCATATTGCCAGTCACCATGATGTCGCTGATTGTACCTTTCTGTATCCCGTATAGCGAAAGGTTGTAAACTTTTCATAAACGCGCTCGAATAGATTGTGAGCACAATAGACATATTGATGTGCTAAAACAAACAACAAAACAGATAACTTGAAGAAATATCTAGATCGAAGGAACAGGTAGCCCAGATAATAAATGTAATGTGATTCATAATTCATTTTCGTCCGAAACATTCAGTCAAACTCCACTGAATAACGACAATCACAATACAAATTAAGTATGTAATACTTTAGAGGAATTTAATTTGAATAATTATTCAAATGGTATGAATATCAACTCTTTGAAATAACTTTGTACTTGAGCTTAGATATGAAAATAGACAAAGGATAAAACAGACAAGTATGCATACAGTATAATCTATAACATTACAAATACACATGAAGAGGTTGGATAAGTTGGCAGAGTAAATTGTAACAATCTGTCTTATTAGTTGAAGTTAGGACTGTAACTTTCATTCAGTTCATATGATTCAAGTATGACAACAGTAATCCTTAATTCATTTGGTATTATTTACTTATGCCTTCTCACTGTTGTTAAGGACTGTGATTGATCAGTCTCTTGTTGGCATATGTGCATTCTGCCTTGATATTGCCTTAAGTCACAAGCTTTATACTTATGAAAATCAACTTGATGTATAAGGAGTAAACAGAATTTTAGTGTGTTGTTCACCTTTATTCAGTGCTCTTTCTGATTTTCAAATTTATATTTCACATATAGGTAATTCTATTCTATTTTTAATTGTCTAGAAGTTATTAAGTTGACAAACAACCCTAAAACTTTCTTTCACTGTACATATACCCAGATGAATTACCTTACTTCTATTCAGCCTAGTCAACTACTCTGACTGACTATCACCTACGAAGAGAGAATAATGTTTTGAAACTATATAATATTAGTAAAGTGTCAGTGTAAATAGTTTTCATTTTGTTTGATTTGAAATAACAATTGGTTAGTTCATTGTAAATTTTCATTAACCAAATCTTTATCTAAACTGTTTACTTATAGAAAAAGTTAACTAATTAATTCCGAATATTAAGTTATAGGCATTTTCCCCATAACATAATGAGTGCAAAGTAAACTTCTCTAAAACATTAATCAACAAAACTTTATCATATTTATAAAATATGACTGTAGTTAAAAATATTTGATGATGATTTTTGTTAATAAGCTCTTCGTGATTAGATTCATTCCAGAACAATCATTACAACTTAGTGAAACGGTATGTTAAATTTATCGGAAATATTTCTATCTGTATAAGTCAGAAGGATCATAAACATGATTAAATTTGAACGAACTGTATAAATTGTGTTGAATGAAACTAAAGTTTAATGGTTGAAAACCTAGAAGGACTGGACGGTCATTTCGTTCTGTTATGGGACTCCTCAACAGTACGTAACCCCTAATGCCCTGGTACGGCCGAAATGCTCTCACATGGTCACACGTATACAGCCATTGTCAGGGAAGTTCTACTGTTGTGAACAGGGAACCAAGAAGCCTTGACAAACAACGAAAGTTGTTTATCGGGACGTTATTTAATTTTATTCAAAGCTTGTAAAACGCTGACATTTATTTTTGTCCCTATTTTATTCTACAGAACATGAGCTTTCGTTCGATGTATCATTCATTGCCATAGCCTTTTTGTTCCGAAGGTATTGTAATTTAAACATAATATTTTGCACCTTATTTTCTACCCTAATTCCCAGTTTCGGATATAAATGTATTTTTTCAAATTATTGTACGTTGTGGTCAGGTGAATCATCTATTATCCATGTGCCTTTTTGCACTGATCTGGAATTCAGGGAATTCAGAGATTTCACAGGAAATCAGTGTGTCGCAATACAGCCAATAGTGTTCAAACTGTCTTGTCTTCTCTCATTTGTGTGCTTGCCAGCCAATCAGTTGGTAGAATAGTTTTCTTCTCTTTACCCCCACCTCGAACTCACGCGTATTATCCTCAAGGTTAAACCGATCGATCGACCTATTAATTCAAGGTCTTAATCCAGAGTAGACAGATCAAGGTCATAACACCTACTCACTGCCTTCTCGCGGTGAGGGTGTTGTTCACGAATTGAGAGGACGAAAAGCGAATGTCAGGCGCATTAACCGGGTTTGTGTTACGGCGAGTCCACCTAGAAGAGTTGGAAAATCCTGATTCCAAACCAATGGTGCACATGGGCTTTAGGATCCTTAGGGAACAAATGGCGTGTGAACCAATGATTGGTCACCAGCTACTATGGGAATGCATCTCCTGACGTTGCTCCACTGACTTGTGGATCAGACCTTTAGGTCCAAGGCTCCGGGCGTGGCCTCCTAGGAAAGCCAACTGCTTCGGTCTTGCCACCCGGGCAGTATCATAGCTCACACACAAACCAAGTGACTTGTATTATATATATATATATATATATATATATATATATTCGGTGCCCATTTGTACCAATATTTATATGTTCAAATAAATGAATAAATAATAAAGTTAACATTAATAACAATAAAAATAAATAAATAATATGAAGATGACAACAGTTTAAAGCAATTTCGAACTAATTAAATAATATTGAAGACCATGTTGAGAAAGTAAGCAATGGAACACAGGAAATGTTTAAAGATTAACGTTGTTTGAAACGTTCTATTATCTAGTTTATCTTGCTATGTATAGTAGATAGAGACATAGAAAACAGAAATGCTTTATTGAAAATGTGTGAGATACTGATTTCTGTACAGAAAATATAGACAATAATCATAGCTATTTTACTAATGTACATATACGTAATGTGAATGCAAACATTTAACCATATTCCAGGATATCTACACTTGCTAGAAAATAGTTCATCCTCTGGTCATTGAGATGCCACTGTCTGTCTGTTTGCCAATCTATCTTATACATTCAGTAAATATATAATCATTATTTGAGATAAACTATGGCAAATCATTAGCGATAATAATTCCAATTTCTCCATCATACATAATAAGAATACGTTCAATTTAGTAAACAGAAAATCGGTTCTATGTCACTACAAGTTTGTCCCAAATATCGAAAAATATCTCTGGACTGTTGCTTTCTCATAAATGCTGATCAACCAATGTGGGTTTTGAAGTGATTTGTTTGTTGATTCACGATGTAGAAAAGTGCTTCAGATTCCGTCCTGTATGTCAAACAAAGTGAATTATTTGCGTGGAACGCTACTTTCATCTAGAATCGGTTCATTCACAACGTGTTAAATAACTAGTACTAGAGTAAATCCATTATGTATTTCGGTGTCCACAGGACTAACATATGCATATTGACTATAATTTACATGTATTGATACAATACTAAAAATACCTTTCACATCAAACACGTTAAACATGCATCACTGTTCTAGTCCACTTCTCTGAAATGACCGATATTATTGACTCTATTCGTCTAATCTGTGCATTTCAAATGCTTTCTAGTGAAATATTATCAAGTATAATCGATAGTCTACTCATTATGTGTATAATTAACAGTTTGTCATCGTACAGTTCGCGCTAAGATAGACACTGCGCAAGCCAAACTAAAGTGAAAACCTACATTTCAATAAAATGTATGACAAACAAACTCACAACCGTAATCATACACACTCAAACAGACGGTGTCTCATTAAAATCCACAAAACCATCCTGTTTATTAACAATATTCCACACATGTTTCAACTAGTCGTAATAGCCAGATAACAATTTGTTCACATTTTAAAGAGAGAGAGAGACAAAACAGTACATTTGAAGGTAGCATTGTTTTTAATGTTGGAGATAAAAGAAAGTGTCAAGTGTGTTGTGTGTGTTGATGTGAACGTGGTTTCAATTGTGATAGTGTGCAAAGAATTGACGAGTGTTTTTATTACATCACACGCTTTATTTATTCGGACAGAGGTATTGTTTAATGAGTTTGTACTTCCTGTTTTGAATTTCAGGTGTCTGATTTAGCCGTTTTGCGTTTTCAAGATTACACTTTTGTTTCACGTATGCCCGACGACATCTTCCGTATCTCCGATTATACCATTGTCTGCCATACCTTACATTCGATTGCCTGTATTGACCTTTTACATCATACGGAAAAAGGCCTGGGCATCCACCTCTGAAATGAGATGAGGAAAAAAGATGAACATTTCGCAATCTCAACAACGAATGGATAGTGGTCTCACAAGTCAATATATGAATTGTAATCAGCACCATTCTGTTTTATCCACAATCACAAACTCCATTTGTTACTCACAGCATTTCTTACTTTCCTCTCTCGTGGACATTCGCATGAATACTT